AGCTTTAAATTGTGTTTGTTTCTTATCTAAATTAATTTCGGTTGAAGCCAAGCTTCAAATTACGTAATTGAGAGCTTAAATAACTGCTGCATAATTTACATATTTACATGCTAAACACATATTCACATAAATATGTATGCTATATGCAACGCATTTTATTGTAACATAACTGTAGACAAAAAAGCACACACCCACACACACACACACACACACACACACACACACACACACACACACACACACACACACACACACACACACACACACACACACACACACACACACACACACACACACACACACACACACACACACACACACACACACACACACACACACACACACACACACACACACACACACACACACACACACACACACACACACACACACACACACACACACACACACACACACACACACACACACACACACACACACACACACACACACACACACACACACACACACACACACACACACACACACACATTGAGTGTAGATGATATTGCCATAAACTCAAATTAAGTAGCAAAAGAATAAATACAAAACATGAAAGAGATGAGACTTCGTTTGGATCATAGACGAATTACCGAGTTCAACCTGCAAATACATGGAAAAGCAATAGACGAATTATAAACCTATATACATATACACACACATACCCACATACATATTTATATACGTGTGTATTTACATATGAACTACACTGTTCTGACAGTTTAATAAAATTAGAAGAATAATAAAATTTATAAAAATAAATCCCTTTCAAGACTTGCTAAAATAAAAAAGGATACAATTATACAACTGCATGCAACACACAAACATTCTCTTCAAAATTGCAAATGCAACAAAGTAAAACATTTAAATGCTACTAAAAACTAAATAATAATAATAATATCAAAAACAAAAACAAAAGTATTCGATATTGCCTTCTTTATATACATATATATATATATATACAATTGTAAAGTAACAGAAGAACTTAATGCAAAAACAAAACGAGAAAACGCATGCAACATTTATATTTTATTTTTTTGTATAGATGCGAAAAAATATAAAGCAAGAGCACCTAAAATATTTAAATGAATTATACAAACTGCTAGAATATAAAATCGATGAATAACTTTTGAAAGCAAACAACTGAATTAATTATTATATTTAATTAAATGAAACAATATGTTATACGCTAAAAACAATAGATATGCTACATATATGCACACACACAGACACACACACATACAGATACACACATACACATACACACATACACATACACACACACTAAAAAGACTGAAAAATATAGTTCCTTTTGTTTTTATGTACATAACAAAGCAAAATTTCTAACGAAAATTGTAAACTTAATGCGAAATGAAAACGTAAAAACAATAAATGGAATTATAAATTAATCAACGTAAATTTAAATCAACAAAAATTTAAATATTTATATGCATATATATGCATATATATATATATATATACATATATATATATATATATGAAACGCAGCCGAAAGCATTATAAACAATTATGTATATTTGATAGTTGAATTAACTCAATTTTTGTATCGAACTGCAAATGCTTAACAATAAGAAACAACAAATTTGTAATAAAATTCTTTGGGCAGTTCGCTGACGCCTAATGCCAGCTTCTTATATAGATATTATATCTGAACAGTTGGCTCTGCGTTGGCGCACATGGCTGCTTTTGTGTACATATATATACCTACATATACTATAAACAAAAACAAAACCCTATCATATAATAAATTAATACAAAACAAACAAAAAAAAAAAGCTTCAATATTTTTATTTCTAACTAAAGCTAATTATAAATATAGAGCTAAGTTATTTGTTTCCTGTTTATATAAGCGAAATAAACAACTAAACATATTACAATGTAACGAAAATATTATGGCGAGACTATAATAAAAACTAAATTAATATACATAAATGAAAGCAATTGCTTTTTCAATCATACTCCAAGTAAGTAATCGTGTTATATATTTGTATATCCGTTATCTGACTCTGTTGGATTAACTATTACTAATACGAGGATCGGCTCTACAGACTACAGAGCAAGGAATCGCCTGCAGATTCTAGAATTCCGCTCGATGGGGGCTCTACTATCAAATCCATTTATCCGAGTTTGAATGAAAATTTTTGAAATTATAGCCCACCTAGCTAATATGGTAAAAATGGGATTAGTTTTTAACGAACCATTTCTGACAGAATCAAAATTTCAAATCAAACTAAGAGTAAAAAAATAAATTTACAAAAAAAAAATATTTCTGAATAGGGCTCGAACGCATAACATACCACGCTACTTTTGCCGCCTCTACCCAACAGCCACACGAAATGAATTCTAATGTGAAAAAAAACGGATTAGAATAACAGCACAGAAAACAATACAATCGCAATTCCAATGCTGTTGATGTTCAATAGGTATGTATGTGTGTGTGTACATGTATACAGGAATTCTTGCGCTTTGCGCTAGCTGATACGTGTCCGTGGCTGCCAATATATATATAACCACGCGTTTCCTTTAATAACTTCTGTGTTTCTTAACCGATCTTGATGAAACAATATATATTATTGTACAACAGAATATTTATATACTCTCAACAAGTTCATTGCATTGAAATTGTGGCTAAAATTGGTGGGCAATACAAATTGTTTTATTTACTTGATTTTTAGCTGTGTGGTGGTCCCGAGGAGGTTGCGATTGATATAATATGAAACATACTTGATATATATGTACATACTACTAGCGGGTATTGCCCGGCCTTGCCCGTGGAACTTTCTGTGCCAGAAATTATATTATTATATTATATTACCTTCCCATTAAGTACACGCCCGTGGAAAACTTAAATCTACCACTTCTATTCAAAAATATGTTTAAAGTGCATCGAATAAAGAACCAAATGGTGGAATCAGAGATTTCCGTTCGTTTTTGAAAACTTTGACCCGCATTTTTATCCAATTACGGTTAACGTTGCGAAGGCGTGTCAAATAGGTTCTGATAAAGATTTTTGATAAACCAAACATATAACATCATCAAAAAAATCTTTGAATCGCACTTTCCACCGAGGAGGCTTTGATTTTGCGAAAAATGTGAAACACGTCTCAAATGATTTTTCATATATATCTTTGACGCCCATTTCCACCAAGGAGGAATGATTTTTTCGACAACTGTGAAAACCCCTCAAATGAATTTGAAAATGATTTTGAGGCCGATTGGATGGTAAAGAAAAAAGTTTTATACAAAAGTTTCTTGCGATTTTTACACACTTGCAGGTGGAATTTCCAGAAACCCCTTCTTAACGTGCACCTTCATCACATAAGGTAACTAAAGTGAAAATTTCAGCTTCCTAGTTCTTACAGTTTGGGCTGTGCTTTGATCACCAATCAGTCAGTCAGTCAGTCAGGACAAACAGTTTTATATATGGAGATTCTAGAAGCTACATGTCAAGTTTGGTGACTCTAGCTCTTATAACTTACAAGATTTGCTCATGAAACAAGATTGCGAAGTCGATTTTTATCGATTAATTGGAAACGGGCTTAGTTATCGATTATCGGAAAAATCACGTACTTCGCGGGCACTAGGAGGACCCACACATCAAGTCTCTAGCTTATATAGGTTCCGAGATCCTTGCGTTCGTACCTACAGCAGACGGACGGACAGAATATATATATTTTATGGGGTCGGAAATGCTTCTTTGCCCCTGTAACATACATTTGCACAAAGACAACATTATACCCCGTTTCCCATTTTTAATGGGTTCAGGGTATAAAAACGGCTTCTGTCGAGCTGCTGTGAAATAGAAAAACATTTTAATAACCCAAATTCCATCCAACCAGTAAATAGCAACGTTTTTCAGTTTATGTTTTCTTCGTTTTTAATGTTTATTTGGTTTTTTTTTTTTTGTTGTTTTTTGTGTTGGTTTTAGTTTTGAAACGAATGAAAAGTACCTAACAAGTTCGTGTGTTCGGTTTTGTTTGTTTATAAAATAAAAGTACATTAATAGAGCTTTCCTTCATCTTCTTGCTTTTTATACACTTTGTATGTAAATGTTAATTTGTTTAACCTCTAGGCGGTAGGTATTAATAACTAGTTGCAGTTGGTTGTCTGTTGGACTCTGTTGTGTGGGGCGATGATTTGGCTTTTAACTTTGATGATGAACTTTGAACTGATATTTGGGTGCATGGAGTTTGCACTCTGATTTTGTTTTTGTTTTTAAGTTGTTTAAATTGCGAGTTTCTAGTCTGTTGTGTTGTTGTCGTTTTTGCTTTCTAGTTTACATTTCATAACAATAACAAATTAGTAATTATGCTTACTTTGCTTTAATAACTAAATCAAACGTACTGAGAGAGAGGTTTGAAACGGCAACTAAAAAATATACAAAACAGCAGACAGAATACACAGAAAGTACAGCATGGACAAATGTTGTTGTTCTTCTTCTTGTTGTTGCTCTCAGCTGGCTGCTGGCTGGTGGGAATTTTTCTCCACGTTCTTGGGTTTGTGTTGTGGCTAGGTTAACAGTTATATTGCCTAGGTTGAGGCGCATGCAGATCGTAACTAAACTCAGAGTTGGTCGCGAGAGAAAGAGAGAGTGTAACAGAATGAGAGAGAATGTTTTTCATTTGCCGCTTTTGGAATTTTTATAGCTAATTTGGAGTTTTCAATTTCAAATTTGTTGTTTGTTGTGATTTATTTTCATTTAATATTAGTTTTATAACTATTTGGTTTTTCTAATTAAAAATTATCTGTGTGTGTGTGTGTGTGTGTTCACTAATTTACAGACAGTTCTGGCGCAAAATATTTGTTTAATGAGGATTTCTTTTGTTCTCATTTATTCGTTTTTTTTTAATATATTTTTTTTTGTTTTGTTTGTTTGTTTTTGCTTGGTTTCTGTTTTTCTTTTTTGTATTGTTTAAGGCTAAAAATTGAAATATGCTTATAAAATGTGTTTTTTTGCATTTTGTGGGGCATTTTCTTGTTTTTTTTTTGTTTTTTTTTTGTTTCTTAAAATACGTGTTTGGATTATAAATTTAAATATAGGTTTTTATGCTTAAAATTTTACACACAACTTAGTTCCATTTAGTTTTTTACATTGTTTGTTGTTGTTGTTTTGCTTTGTTGTTTTTGCTGATGTTCTCTTGAAACTGTTTTGCTTTACTTGATAATTTGTAATAATATTAATAATAATGATAATAATAATAATAATAATAATAGATCATCTCTAACATAATATGCGCTGCTTTTCTTGTATATAATTTATAATTATAAACACCCCCTCCCAATCCCCAAACCCCCAATTCGCAGTTGTATGTGTGTTGTGTGTGTGTGTGTGTGGCTTAGGGCCCGTAGGCATCGGAGCTAAAGTCGAACAGCCGATCGATACCCTCGTTGGCGTTCAGTGCGTAGGGATAATCATTGTCATCCGGCGGATCGATGGACACAAAGGCTTCGTTATTGAAGTCTGCAAAGAGGTAAATAGACAGAGAGAGAGAGAGAGAGAGAGAGAGAGAGAGAGAGAGAGAGAGCGAAGAGAGAGATAACAGCTAGTTAGTGAATTGCACAAAACTGATAGATACCCTATACTTATGAATATGATTGGATGAGTGAGTGGATTCAATTTGTTGGCGCTTGATTAACGGTTGGTTCTTAGTGGATGCATGTTTGAAATTCACGCCAGAGCTGAATCTCATGGTGCTACAAAATTTCAATTTCAATTTGAACAATTGCCCTCTGCAACGGTCAGTGCACTGCAGACCCACGAGAATTCAGTTCCAAAATGAATTTGCGCTTGCGCGTTGCGAGCAAATGGTTTCCATTTATTAAAAAAAAAAAACAAAAACAAAAACAAAAAAACATCGACATAAAGGCGGCGGGTTGATATCTGTATATTCTCTATATGCAACAATGTATTATGTAAAAGTATTTATTTAGTATGTGTGAACAGTTGTTAATGATTTCTAAATGGCCAAAAATTAGCAGCAATTGAACTGTTAACTTAACAGCTTTTAAACATCACAAATGTCAGGTAAAATGTAGAATGAAGTGTGCATGCTTTTGGTGTGTGTGTGTGTGTGTGTCTGTGTGTGTGTGTGTGTGTGAATGTGTGTGTGACTGTTAGTGCGACTAGAGAGAAGGAGAGTTGGTTATTAGTTAATTTGGTTTTTTCTTTTTATTAGTAATATTTCTGTTACACATTTCACTATACATTTGAATGATAAACCAAAATAGAAATAAGTAAAAATTCAATTTTGAACTGATTCTCGTCGGTTGGTAGCTTGCCGAAATATTGGGTGAAAATTTGAGAGAAAATAAAATTGACAAAACACTTCACTGATTTTTCGTATATTCGTCTGTTGCTGTGCGAAGTGCGCGCTAAGCAAGAACTCAGACTGTGATGCGGTTTGCATATAAGAGTTCACGCAGGTCACAGAAAAAGTTCTTGATAAGTGCGCTTCAATAAAACCAAATTCGAACTGTTAAAGCAGGCGCTGTAGAACTTGCTGCTGTTATTTACATAGACGAGATGTAGTGTATGAGATGGACGATTTGATGCTTGTATGAGAGACGTCAGCACACGGAGTATGGAACTGAGTTGAATTTCTAATTTCGATTTCGAAATATACTTACAGTCTGTGCCAATGTCGCCAAACAATGCATCGAGGCCTTGGAGAGCAACATTGCTGCCGTCACTGTCAGCGTCGCAGTCGCCAACGCCTGGCGGCAGGCTGCGATAATTATTCTTGTTGTTGTTGGTGTTGTTGTATTGCTGTTGCTGATCAACATTGGCGCCAGCGCCAGAGATGTCGCTATATGTCGCCGCCAAGCCGACGCCAAGGCCGCTGTCGCTTTCATTGCCGGCTACTGCCGCAAACTGCATGTGCAGCGAGCCTATGGCAGAGGAGTTGTGGCTGCTGTTATTGTTACTGTTATTGCTAACAGCATAGGACGCAGTCGCGTCGTCCATTGCACAGTTATACATTGGTACATCGCTGCGTCGCTGCTGCTGCTGATTGCTGTAATTAACTGTGCTGCTGCTGCTGTTGTTGCTGTTGTGGGGCTGGGAATTGTTGTTGTTGCTGCTACTGCTGCTGTTATGACTATTAAGCGTAGTTGTGTTGCCCGCGATGTTGGCGGCGGGATTCGCCGCACGTCGCCAGAGCCGCGGCGTCGTAGAGCGAAGTCCGCCCTCCGCCTTCGTGGGCGAGGATTGTGTTAGGCTGTTTAAAATGTGCTGAATATCGATGCCATGCCGCTGGTGATGGTGATAGCTGCGGACCACGGGACTGGTTAGCGTAGGCACCAGCTGATTCAGCTCATCGTCGACGTCGTCATCGTCGTCATCATCATCATCATCATTGCCCGCCTGCGTCGTCGACTGTTGCAGCTGCTGCTGTGGCGAGGTCAGTTCATATTTGACGCCGCCAATATCACAAATGTTATTATATTCAGGCTGGGATTGCTTGGCCGCCTCCTCAATCGACTTGCTGAGGTTGCGCTGAGCTGATAAGCGATATGGTGGATGGCCTGGGCACAGATTGAGCGGTAAATAATTAGTACTCGGTTCCTTTTTGTTGATATGCGATAGATAACTACTATCGATTTTCGTTGACTTACCTAGGCCCTTGGTGCTCATGGCATCAATGTTATTGAATAGGGGATCGATGCGCTGATTGGTCAGGTGATGCAGTCGCGTCGACGTCGCCGTGCGTATGCCGTTGCCACACAACGCAGGCGCAATTGGCGAACTTTCCGGCGAATTATCTTGGCACAGAAATACATTTATCTCCCCACTGTTCTCCGCCTTCACGTATATTTCGCGCGGTAGCTTTGTGTTGGGCAGCTGTTAACGCGTAAACGAGATAGATAATAACAGAAATGTAATTTACAGTTACAAACTAACAGCAATTGCAGCTGTAACCGAACAGCAGAAACTACTTTTAGTATCTTAATCTACTAAGGTAGATAGCAATAGACTCTACTTGTTGAGAAGTGTGTTGTGTAGACTTGCCACCTGTAGCTGTTAACCGATATTAATCGGAGCACATTCGAAATAGCCTTCAGATTTTTCATCGCCTTTTTCTTCGCTCGTGCGTGCGTTAGGCGCGAGTTCATTAAACAGTTCAAGGCGAGAGGAAACATTAAGCGAAATATTTATAAATAGTGTGTGGCTAACAGATAGTAGAAAAAGAAGACTACGCGAGATTCAATTGGAAAAATACTTTTTTTTTTTTTTTTTTGGTAGAGAAATCTATATGTATATAAATGTGAAATACATTTTCCCCTTGATATCAAAATGGAAAGGCTGCTCTGCAGGGTGTAGCGCGACTGGTTCGGAGGTTCGTCTGGGGACTTGGGGCTAACGGGGCTGCGGATTTGCTTCCATTTTGCAGTGCGTCGCGCTTGTCGCCGTCTGCGGCACGTCTAAAAATAGTGCGCCATCTTTAATGGCATGCAGACGCAAAGAAGAAGCACAATTGTCTGACGTCGTCGGCCGAAAATCGACGAACGGACCAAGACTAAGCGAAATCAGCTTCAAATATATTCTATATATGTACGTACACATATAGAGATACTAGACTACTTTAAAGAACTTAGGAGGGCTCCAAGCTTGAAAATGAATCACAAATGCTGACATTTTAAACAATGTATTTGTCAGTAGAAATATATGGCTTTATCGAATCTAGAGATCTAGATTATACGCTCGAAAATCTTCAGGATTTGAGATGTATCTACAGCTAGTTAGCACTGATATGGTTAAGCTTTTGCCCTTTTGCCCTATCTGCACTTTTGCCCTATCTGAACTTTAGTCGTGTGTCTTCTTAGTAGCAAATTGTGTAGTTCTTCTTCCGCTTGAGACTCACCACAAGTTTGGCCTCTGGCGGCGCCTTGATCACAATAACAATCTGATCTTTGAACAGATCCACGTTGAGCAGATCGTTTTGCGTCACGTAGGCCATGCCGCCAATATTCTCCACCTCCTGCGATATCTCGGCCAGTTCGCCGCGCATCTGGTCGATGAGCGTGTTGAGCTCGTTCTCGCGCTGCTCCAGCCGCTCGCACTCTGCCTCGATGTGTCGGGAGCGTTCGCTGCTGACCAGTGATTGACCGCCGCGCCATTGTATATTGTTCTTGGACTTCTTCTCCAGGATGCCAATGCCCTCCAGCACGTTCGTAATGTCGTAGATGCGACGCTTCTGCACGGACAGCCGTGTGGACGCATCGTTCAGATCGACCACACCGTCCGGCGACTCCTGCAGCAGATCCACAAACTTTTTGGTCAGTATGCCCAGCGAAGTGTCCGCCCGATTGCGGTCGCCGCCACCGCCGCCCCCAGCTGAGGACGTCGAAGAAGATGTTACCAGCGCAGTCTGCTGCTGCGGCGTCGTCTGCTGCTGCGACGCTGTCCGCGCAAACTGTGTATGTGAATGCAAAGTACCGTTGCCGGCCGGTTTGCTCGTCTCCACATCGTCATCTTCGTCGTGCTCGACGTCGTACTGCTGCTGCGACTGCGACTGCTGGTATCGCAGCTGCTGCTGCGCCGCCGCCTGCTGCTTGCTGTTGTTGTAGGTGACCGTTTGATGCTGTGCGCTCTGCTTGGCCTGTTTCTTCGGGTGGATCTCGTGGGTGGCTGCGTTCGGCCGGCGCTTGACCTGTACCAGACAGAGATAAACAGGGAGCGAGAGAAAGAGAGAGAGAGATGGTGCGTGGTGAGTATGTGCAGGTGTGTTGAAATCGGCATCTTTCTGAACGCACGTTGAGTATACTACATACGCATATGTTTACGACTGGTGTGTCGATAACATATATCGATATATCGCATAGCTGAATCACATTATGAAAATGCAGTTATAATAAAGTTCTTCAGCTATTAATCCATTTTTGTGGCTTATCAATATGTGCTTATCGATAATTTTGCAAATGATCAACATATACTAATTGAATTAATGCCTTACCCTGTAGTAGTGTGTGATATCATTCGTTTTGCCAGCAGCTCCTCCTCCATTCCGCTGCTGCTGCTGCTGCTGATGATGTGTGCTTGTTGCTTCTGCTATAACGGTTGTTGGTGTTGTTGTGTTGCCAGACTTATTCAGACTTATGTATTCGTGATCTTGCAGGTGGGCTGCGACGCCAACGCCGATGCTGACGCCGCTGTTGCTGTTGCTGTTGTCGTTGCTGCCGTGCTCGTAATCAATGTCCCGCAGATTTTCATTTTTGATCACAATATTATTGTTGTTATTGTTGTTGCCCAGCAGCTCATAGCTGAGTTTGCGTACCACCTGTGTGCCGCCAACTCCATAAAGCTGCTGCTGCTGACGCTGTGTGTTGCTGTTGGGCGCGGCGCTGGTTATCAAAAAATTCGACATTTCGCAGTCGCGCGCGCTCTCCCTTCTTACAAAAATTCTCTCTCTCCCCCTCGCTCTTTTTGCTCTCGCGCAACTTAGTCGCTGTCTTTTATTTTTATAATTTGTTGTGTTTGCTACGTTGTTGGCCTGGCAGCGCGGCAATCGCACGTATTTTGCTGTAGCATACTTTTAAGCGCGGCGGTTGCTGCTTAAGACGTTGCCACCCAGTTGAAAATTTGCCTGATGTGTGCTTGTTGCTTCAGTTATTTTGTTGCTGTTGCTGTTGCTGGTGTTGTTGTTTATTGTACTTTTTGTTTGCGCTTATCAACTAAATTAGCACCTAGGGATTCTTCACATCTGCAATGAACAGAAAGAAAAATAAAGAAAAGAAAAGGCAATAATTAGTCAAGTGCTACATGACTCAATATTTATGCAATTGGCACATTAAACTTTTGCGCCATTTCTGTTGTTGTTCTTAACATTTAATGGTGCCTGCATTTACATGACATTAACATATCCGCCTCGACACGCCGCTGCAGCATATATATATATATATATAGAGAGAGAGAGAGAGAGAGAGAAGAGAGAAGAGAGAGAAAGAGACAGGGGGATTCCAGTGAGCGAGAAGAGCGCACCATTTTGAATTATGTATAAGTCAAAGCTCACAACAGGCGTCGTTTTGTGGCATGCCAAAAATATTTCTAACAGAATACAAAAACCAGCAATATTGTGCGTGCGTTTTTGTTGTTGGCGTCGCGCAAGCGCAAATGTCAATAAACTCAGCATAAAAAGTATTAAAACAATCAATTCGCCAAGCCAACACAGATTCCAAAAGAAGACGCGGCGCAGCATGTGAAGTGAAGCCAAAGGCACAGCGCGAAAAACGAGAACGCACAACAGGTAAGGCGAGTAACGTTATATAGTTAATGCTGTATTAACCGCTTTTTGCCAACGTTTCGTCTACTATGTGGCAGAGGCTTTATTCATTAGAGAGAAAGATTTCTTGCTGGATATGTTGTTGTTGTTGTTTTGCTGGTTGATTGCCAAGCCCGAAGTAATATTTTGCGTGCTGGCAAATTAAAAAGCTCAAACAGCGTAAAAAAAAAAAACAATTAAACAAGGCCAAATGCCAAAACAACAATAATAATAATTAACACTACTTGTACTTAACATGCAATGTTAATTTACATGCGTTGTGCTTTGTCAGTAATGTTAACTGTTAACGCTGCTTAAATAGCAACATTTTTGCATTTGTCAAACTGAAACGGTAGAAATAATTTACAAACTGTTAATTGCGCGATTGCGCGATCAAAAAGCACACATTCGCAAATTAAGAACCTTTATTATGAATATATGTGTGTGTAAGTGTACATAAAGGTAACAAGCGCACAGTCTCTACATATGCATACATACATATGTATGTAGAATGAAACGCAAAACGAGCGAAATGAACGGAACGTCGCGTGGAATTTGCTGAAATTGGCAAGAAACAAGCAGCGAGCAGGCAGCAGCAAATCGGCGCAGGTAGGTAACAATAGCCAGCCGCTCCTCTCCTCTCACTTGCGCATTCTTATTCTCGCTCTCGCACTCGCACTCGCTCTCTTCAGTCACGCTCTCTACAATAAACTGCAGGCTGCTGAGATTCTCTTGTTGCTTTCTACTGTGCAAAAAAAACGGTATCTGCTTACAGGCCGGCAAGTTTTGCTTTATATATTTCTCTTTTTTTTGTAGGTAATTCAAATCGAAGACATGGAAATTTTATACGCTGCCTCCAAAATTGTTGGCACAAATTATGTGGGTAACAGCGAAAAAAACAAATAAAAACAATATACAATATAAAAAGGGTAGCTGCTTGGCTGCCGCCAGGTAGGTCCTTTGAAATTTCTTAATTTAAATGCACACGAAATATTTTTTCGTTTGATCGGCATTCAATAACAAGTTGTCGTATATTCTTCATTGCGCATATAAAATTACAGAAAGCGTATAAAATTACGCCTAAAGAGACGAGAAGCACAACAAAGATTTTATGCTAATTTAATCTATCAACATAGATATAAGACATAACTGTTATTTAATGCATGTGTGCTGTTAACATTTGAACTTAACATTTAGACATTTAACATTTACTGTAGATCTTGTTATGTAAAATGTGTAATGCCAACAGTTATCTGCAGTTAACATTTGTGTCGGTGTGTGCATCTAGTGCACTTGTCGGGCATCTCTTTGAATGTGTTTATCTAATAACAACAAGCCAAAAGGTAAATATAAAATGCAACTGTGACTTGACGAAAACAAAAACAACATTATGCAAACAGGGAAGAGAACATGAACATGAAAGTCGTGGACAAAATGGCCTAGAGAAAATAAATAAACCAAGCAACAACAACAACAATACAAGCTCAGCTTTTTTCAATCAACCTGACGACGACGACGTCGGCTCAGCAGAGCGCAGCGGCCGCGGCCCCGGTCGCTTGACTGATAAAGAAAAAGCTAGAAGTATAAACATTATATACAATGCATACGTTTGAATGAATGTACATATACATATATGTATTAACAATGACGAGTAAATAACAGCAGACGGTGAGGGAACAAAATAGGTGTCCAAGCACGCGAAGTATTTTCTTTTTGATAGCGTAGCAACTGCGCTGCTTATTGTAAATTAAAGTAAAGTAAAACACGAGAAAATGGTATTAAAAAGGAATATAATTGCTCTGCTGCGAACCAGACCTGTGACCAGACCATGCCACCCCCTATAGCCCAAGCCCCACTACACCCATGACTAATGGTCAGCAGCTGCTAATTGGACGCTTAGAAATGAAACTTAACGGTACTGTTTAATAACTTCTAACACGAGCTATCAGTTATTCATGCAACAATTTATGGCGCTTTAATTATGCATACATACATATGTACATACATTAATATGTCCACGCATATATTATATACTTCTGTATTTATCTTTAACAGCGAGCGCTCTCACACGCACACAGACAGCTCTGGGCAGAGCAGCGCTGCCGACTGCAGCGCACACGTAAAAGTTTCGCTTTCTTTTTGCACACTATTTTGCATGCGCAGCAGAAACGCAGACGCAAAAGACAATAAAAAAAATAAAAGACCGACTAGACAAACATATATATGCATATATATATATATATATATATATATATATATATACGTATATACACACATACATGTTTATTTAACACAACGTACAACAAATTGCCACAAAACCATTCAGCAATCGCAATAAGCGCCGGAGCAAAGAATAATTTGTGTGTATATGAGCTTATAGACGTCTTCGCTCAGACAATGCGCTTGTGTATGTGTGCATGTGTGTTAGGGAGATTTTTAGCGCGAGAGTGGGATGCTGAGGCTGGCTGCTTTCACGACTTTGGTTTGAGATGCCGGCCGCTTTTTTTTTTCTTTCTGTTTTCATAACAGCTGTTAGACCGACCGACAAGGCGTTCACAGATGCGGTCCACAGCAGAGCTTTTGTTGTTGTTACTCTGCTGCTGCGCTGTTGCGGTCTAGTGTGGATTGCATGTTTATTGCGACGCAGCCGGTTTTCTGGCTTAAGGTCCACTCTGATTACGTGCTGTTGTTGTTAACCGGTGCGGACATAAGCACACAAATATATATGCATAAAAGAACATGTTAACGTACATATGTAACTGTAAATTAGGCGTTACGCTGCTGTTAATTACATTCAGCCAATTACAGGGCACTGCTACACGTTTTATTTGTTTGCAAAAAACAATCAAAGCTTAACCCAAAAACGCCAATCAACTAAGCCTAAGCACTGACAAACTTGCCCAAAAGCAACATCATTAAGAGCAGCAACAACAATCGTCTTATTTGCTTGTGCTTGCTGAACGCACACTTCGATATACAATTTAAATAAACAGCAAGAGACGCAAGTGTAAACAGCAACAGCAAGAGTAAAGCTACGAACCCTATTTGTCAGTGAGAGTGGGATGGCGAACGGGTAATGTAAGCTACAGTTAACAACAGGGCGCTGTTAGGCTCAATAGCGGCTGTTGTTTTTCTTCTTCTTTTACTGTACATATTTGGTGGGTGCAAAAGCCAAAAATAATTGCCAGTTGGTAGGCAGAGAGGTGCACAAAACAAGAGAGAGCTTTGGCAGGCGCATAAAATGCGTCGCAAAATAATTCGCCAACAAAATGCAAACAAAAAAAAAAAAAAAAACAGAAAAATGGTTTGGGGTTGAGGAGTTGGCAGCTTTTTGGGCGTGCAAGTTTGTATGTGTGTGTGGGCGCCGCGTTGTTCTGGAAAAGTGGAAATTTAATGCCGGGCAAGCCGTCAAAAAAAAATTCTCAATTTCAGGGAATTCCCCAACTACTACTTATATAAGTTACGAAACTGCCTGCGAAGCAATATTGTTAAGAGTAGCAGGAAAATTGTATTATGTGAACCTATGTGCAATACGTACACATACATACATGCATACATATGTATGTAGACTTATGCGCTACTGCTGTTCTTGCCCATATGCATGACGCATTTTCAGTCATGAGTTTCTCATAAACTTGCATTGAAAATTTCCCCTTGTGCCGTTATCAGAAACTCTCTTACAGCATTTGGTGAGGCGACTGCACAACTTCAGTTAACATGTGAACAATAAATCCAGGTACGCCCAAAAAAAAAAACGATAACGTGGAGCAGGAAGCAGCAAGTGCTCGGGGGTGTGTGGCGAGAGCTTTAGAAGTTTGCTATTTACAAATGAATTAAACGTAGCTTCACCTTAAACACATCGAGCAGAGCCGACGACACTCACACACACACATATATATAAAAGGCATTTAAAGGTTATTAACGGGCTTTAGAGCGGAGGAGAGGCAGCACAAAGCAAACCTGCAAGAATGATTAATTGTCAACCGCACACACACATACTAACAGAACACATGGTTGCGCAGTTTGAAAGCAACTGATAAATCGTACCGAAATTTTCTAGTTTTTGGGTAGAAAAAATATACATATGTATGTGTAAGAAGTGCACGCACCTAAATTGGAATTTCTTCGCCTTTATATCACGACGCACAACCCACCAGCAAAGCAAATGCCTGCAAACGCTGCTGCTGCCGTCGCCTGCGTCGTCGTCGCCGCTGCTGCTGCCAACGTCGCTGCTGCTGATGTTTTGTTGTTGTTGTTGCTGCTGCCGCCGTCGCGCTCATTTAATATCACACACGTTTCATATTTTTGCGTTTTTCATGTACATTTTTTCACTACGTTTTCATGTTTCTTTTGCGCAAAATTTGTATTCTTCTTTTCGACGTGTGACGTCAGCAGTTAAGAAAAAATTATATTTGTTGTAGATATCACATAATTGTTGTTGATGCGCGTACTGTGTCTGTCTCAAAATTTGTTGTTGTTTAGTTAGCTGTGTGTCTCAATGTGTGCAGTTTTCTTCTTTCTTTTCATCAGTTTTCACATTTTGTGCGGCGAACTAAACGAACTTCATGGGCCACGACGTAAACGCAAAGTGAGTGCTGCCTGGCCTGAGTGTCTTTTCGTCGTAGTAGTAAGTGGAGTCGCCGGCAAACCTACAGCGAAAGAGAGTATCTCGCCGAGAGAGCGAGAGTGAGAGAGAGAGCGAGTTCGCAGAGAAAACGTAAGTGGCGACGTGACGTTAAGCGTGTTGGTCCGACGGCAGAGACGGCGTGCTGCTAATGATCCCTCGTTATTGTTGTTGTTGCTCAATGTTGCAGCTACACAAGGCCAGTCCGTACAGCCTTGGTGACGTCACTTATCAATATTTTAATGAATTGCTGAATAATTCTGCATTCGGGCACATATTCGTGGACATCTCTCGTTTATTTCTCCACGCGGGCGTTTACGTGATACGATTCGCGTTGTCGCTTACTTTTGTGTAGCTTTTCGTTTTCTCTGTGGACAGCAGCAACAGCAGCGACACGACGCGACGACGGCGACGACAGCAACAACAAACAGACACGACCAGCAGTGCGGAGCGTATACGAAAAACTAAAAGCGGCGAATTTGCTGCCACCAATTTGAACTGTTATTGTGCCGCTTTTGGACTCTGTTAAGTATGCTTGTAGCGGCGAATTGAAAGCGGCAGCTGAGAGTAAGCGTTCACAGCTGAGAGAGCGACGTGCTGTAACGTAAGCAGCAGCTGAGGCGGCAGCATATTATACGAGTATGCGTGAGTGGAACGTAGGCAGACGCCTTGTAGCATGTGGATGCCAGACTCATAGTAGGTAGGTGCGCGTGTATGCATGAATACGTGTGTTTGTGTGCTTTTGAGCCGCGCTCTCAGTTGCTCAAATGCCGGCTACAAAAACTGAGAGACGGAAGTGACATGCCGCCTCCAACGTGACTGCCACCGCACCCACAAACCAACTACAAATGTACATACAGACATATACACACATGTATGTATGTGTCTGAAAGTATTTATGTATATAGTATGTATATTACTTAGCTGTCTCTGTTTTCCACCGTCTTTTTATCTGCGTGTCAGTGTGATACGCATGTTGCGCGTTTTTATTATCGTCAACAATGTTGCCAACGCCATGGGTACATATGTATATAACAGCATGCAACAAATACCTTGTTTTTGTTAAACTTATTTAAAAGAATAACCTATTTTATCGAATACTTCGACGCAATTGAATAAAGACATTAATAAAGCAAATACTAGATGTGTACATATACATATGTACATATGTACGTGTACATACATGCATACGAAATGTTTCTTCTCTGAGCCATGAACCAAACTTTGGACTGCTGTTGGCGTTGGCTTTTAAGCAAAGTTCATTGAACTAGATAAACACATCTGCTCAAATACGTTTCTGTGTTTGCGTGTTCCGATCGGTAACTGGGGTACTCATATGTATCTATTGCTGCAATGCTCATACAAAATCAAGCGAATTATGGTAAATACGCCGCAAAAAAAAAATAAAACTCACGCCCAACTTCACTTTCCATTTCTCGCCAGGCAGCTAGAGCGAGACAATAATGACAGATGAGCAGCGACAGCGACAAGCAAACCAGACACACACACACACACACACACACACACACACACACACTGACATACAGACACACACGTACGCAATTCCAGTTAATTAAAAGTATTTATGACACTGCGCGCACACACACGCACATAAAAAGGTCTTAAGTACAAAAGTCCACAAGGATCGTGGGAAGTTCCAGGCGCAGACGATCGCAAAACGAGCTCAAAAAAAATATCTCTGCTATCTATGAGCAGAAAAAATCACGCAAGTACAACAAAAAAAACCTAACATGCATAGAAGCGCAGTCTACAAATCTAGAAGGAAAAAATCAGGGGGACAGAGGGAGACATATAGCCTTAAGGGTGACGCTGGATTGGTTGTTGTGTGAAAAGGAAAAAAACGACATTCTGTTAAGCACATGATGTCTTCTCAGCCAGAAACTATACGTCGTAGGCAACATTTCGTTAAAGAAAAAAATTAAAGGATACGAGCATCTTGCAAGTCCTGCCTTGCTGTGGGGTCATGAGAAGCAACAGCGCAAAAAAAGGACAAAAAATGCAGATTATAAAAAAAAAATAAAAAATGTAATAGAAATTGGAAACTGGAAAGCAGATAACTTCGGGAAGCATATGATAGGTTTGAGTGAGACCAGACAATTTGTTGGCAAGGCACAACGGAGAGGTGCAAGGTTCACATTTGTGTAAGGTAGGGCATATTGGCCAACTAAATAATTGTAATTTACAAAATAAAAAGCAATTCGAACAAGTTATTTCAGCTCACAACAAATTTAAAATTGGTCTAACATTTTTGGAATCGCTAACATTCGGCTAACATTCAAGCCAAAGTACATATGTACATATAAGCCGGACAAAACATATGTTAGGGTATATATTAAGTATTTGACAAGCCAGACGAAATGTGCCGGCAGCACAGCAGTAAACTGAAGCGAAATGAGAACAAACGGAACATCCTCATAATCGTCATTCACATAGTCGTCGCCGTTTGCAGCAACCCCTTTTTCAGTGGGGTGCAAAACACTTTTTACAGCCTCTGCTTCTGCTCCTGCTTCTGCTGTGGCCTCTGCATCCCCAAGGCGTGCAGCACATAGACCGGCGACATGGGAAATGAATGAGAGCTGACGGAGAGACGGCGACAGCGACAGCGAAGGCGACGTTGCCGGCACAGACATGCCGCAGAATGCAATCAACTTGAAAACTACTTGAGAATCTGAGCGACGGTGATATTCAAATTTGAAAAATAAAAGTGAAGAAAAAAATGATGCAAAAAAATAAAAAAAAACGCAACGGACATTGAAGTTAGAGAGAAGCCGCTGCTGATGTCGGCGTTGACGTTGACGTCGCTGCATGTTTGACAGAATGTCAGTCACAATGTTGATTGGGTAGTTGTTTCTGTTGTTGTTGTTTTTGTTATTATTGTTGTCGCTGCTTCTGTGTAGTTTTTGCCTTGCTCTTTGTTTAGGGTGGCCAGCTTTCAAGGCGCTTTGGCCTGTGTGAGAGCGTGAGCATTGTGTAATTGTGTGTGTGCTTACTTCCGACCGATGCGGCGCGACGTTTACTAAACTTGACGCAACATTTATTGAATTTGCCTGCAGCGACGCCGTCGTCGAGGCGAAATGTAAAATTGATGTTGTCGCCGCGTCGCTGAGCAAAGTGCCCAAAGCAGGCGCATAAATGAGTATTACGGAAATTAAACCGCCACCCCCCTCCGTATCCATCTTTTTTTATGCGGCTTGACATGCTAGGGGGGGCATTATACACTCTTCCCCTCCCTGTTATTCCACACTAATTGCAAACTAATTTGATTCAAATGTTAATTATTTTTACAGACATCGCTCAGGCAAAAAGGCAGAAACTGAATCAGTCAACTCTTAACTTTGGTATTTCAGTAGGAGAGAAAGAGAGAGAGAGAGAACGCACAGTGAGAATAGGCTATGTAAAACGGGTTCTGTTATTGGAGTTCATAGTTGGACATACTAAATAAATAGATGCATGCAATTCTGATAAGCTTATGTTAACACAATAAAGTTGTATAATTAGCATTATTAAATTATAATATTTTAAGCATTCATATATAAGAAATTATTAATCGTTATATACTATAATCGAAACATTGGAATCGAAATAATCTAATTATCTTTATATTGGTTAAATACTCCATGAAATGTGTCTACAAAAATTGTAAACTGGAATACAACAAAATTATGCATACAATTTGATTTAAGATGAAATGAGAATATATTGAACAAACTTCTACTTGATTTTCTAAAATATTACAATTTGCTATTTACGCATTGTGTATACACTGATTTATATCGTGTAAATTCCACATTAGGCAGTAATCACTGTACTGTTTTTATTACTCATGATCATGTGTGTAGATTTTCATTTCAGCTTCTAGGCGTAGCACTATCACAGGCTGGTTAAAAACAAAAAGGTTACCGATGCGACTCGCAAGCCAAATGGGGTTAGGGTCATAATGAGCAGGCGGGCGGGCGCAGGCGGGCACGGGCAGAGGCAGAGGCAGACTCAGGCAGGCGGCAAACTCTAGTCTAACGAGCGGTCGACCTTAAAAGCGCGCTGCATGCCCGCACTTAAGCCAAACACCGAATACCAACTACCTGCCCGCCCGCCGCCCTAATACCCGTGCACGTAGCCGTCTTTGAAGAGCATATGCTCTATATGGTTAGACAAGCCGTCGAGTGACTCTGAGTCTGACGCGACTCGCAGCGAGTCAAGTCGACTCGACTTGGTTTGAAGACGAGAGCGACTCCGACTCCAACAAGCTACAAATCACGTTCAATGAACTTTTCTAAGTGCCATAAAACGCGAGAGAATCCCCACAAAAACAACATGATTCAAATAAAACAAAAATCCGTTATAGCTTATTATTTAATTTTTCGTTTCAAAAGTGCCAAGAAATTAAATCTTAGAAAAACAAAAACATGTTGAACCTATCTATCTTTTAACTCTAACAGACCTACAATATATTTTAATAACAATAAAATTCAATTTTTTAATCGCAGCTATATTATATCATATACTGCAAAAGTGATGCCAAGTTATATGATAAGATAGGTTAAGTGCGACGAAAGCTCGTTTGTTTCGGGTTCTAAATGTTGAAAATATCTTCTAATAATTTTACTACTTTGTTAAAAGAAAACCACCTGATACATCTGATTTTTATAAGATTTCTTCATATATTCTTTAGTTTTATGTATAATTTTTTGATTATAAAATCAGCTAGTTCGCTTTGGGGAATATTTTTTGTAAAATTATCGTTAGATATCGTTGAATTATGACAATTTGCCCAAAGAAGCTTTCATTTTATCTACCGGGTCTGAGTTCCTAAATGCATTGCGTAGTTCATGAGAAAGTTGGTATAGCCGCTGTAAGGGTATAACAAAATCGCGTCTGTGTGGCAATTTCGAGCGAGTGAATTTGCAACGAGTAAATTTTAACTGTATTTTAGTAGTTGTTGTCGTTGGTTTTTGCCGTGCAAATGAATTGTTTGTTTTACTTACGTGTCGCTGGCATTGAATTTGAAATATATTGTTTTGTAATCCAAATGTGATTGTGTTGAGTTGAGTTTTGGCAATGAATTGAAACTGATTTATGTCAACTTATTTGATTATTGGGTAATTTCAAGGCTTTCTTTTTAACAATGATATCGGTTTAATAAATAAGCGATATAGGTTTTGGTATTTCGGCAATAAAGAACTCCAAGGTATCAATAAATACGTTTTCTTATAATAATTGTAAAATAGTTTTTAGAACAAGTTAAAGGTAAACACTTAGCACAGTATAAGACTTTGTTTAACAATTTAAAGAGTGAAAGAGACAAAAAATGTGTTCAAAACAACAACACGTGTGGAATAACAATATATATGAAACATAAATAATTTGAACGAAATTTTAATGAAAGTATTGCATTTGCGTAATTTTGAAAACCTTCTCAAGAAGCATCATATTTTGTAATCATTTAAATTGCATATCAATTTGTTA